CTCGCAAGCGGGGGTTCTAGGCCTAGATCCTGACGTACGGTGGCTGCTACAGTCACTGCAGCGATATCGGAGGAAACGGGCCGGAGAAGGCATGTTGGGTACTGAGATGCTGAGCAAGAAGACGAAGCAACTCCGGGAATATCGAAAAAGATGGTAGTGTAGTGTGGGTAGGCTCCACAGTGGGCTCAGCTGCAGCCTTTTGAGCCTCATCCGCGGAGATCCCACGCTCATCCTGAGACAGTGGTACCCAGCCACCCCGTTCCTCGATCTGTCATCACACGACTTTGACTGAATACTCTCCGAACACCTTGGTCAAAAGTTTCGGGTCATACGGAGGATTTCGAAGAGTTAGCTGCTGATGTGAAGCAGGACCCGGAGGATGTCTACGTTGTTAAACACTCCTGCGCGCTGCATTCCCAATACTTCCTCGCCGTCTGCACACCCACCCCGTACATTGCAGCGCCGCACACCACCAGCACATGCATAAGCTGATGGCTACTCCCAATTACGTCGCAACGCCGAGGGTACCATCTCTCAGGCACTCTCGCAGCGTACAACAAAGCTCCGGCGCCATGACAAACGCCTAGTCCAAGATAGTAGCCCAAGCTCATCCTACTATCCATCTCTTCCACGCCATAGACGTGGGTACCATGCGCTATTGGAAGGAAAGAAGACGCTCCCAACAGGAGATAAAGCGCCGTACGGAGATGACGAGACTGAGGACCAGAAAAGGTGGGGTGCAGAGTAGTGAGTGCGCAAGCAAGGCCCACGACAGTAGCGAAGATACTGTAGGCTTCCTGTAGTACAGGATTGTATTTGAAAGTGAAGTGTGTACTGGCAATTGTCGTACCATACAGTGGTATCACGATACCAAGGTAATCGAATCGGCCCGTCCAGGTGCGAACACTTTCGCTGTGATCGAGGAAGATGTGGTGTCTATCAAGCGTCAGTACCATCTGTTCTTCAAACTCAAGGCATGAGGGTTGAAGATGAGTATCAAGAGGTACTTACAAGAACGAGAAAAAGAAGCACGCTATGACAGAGGTAAAGTAGACGTAGACAGCTTCATCGTCGCCGCTTCTACTGTACCTATCTAGGTGACTCCGACGAGCAGACAGGTAGAACACGACATCGACCAAAAAGAAGGCAACGGTACCCAGGATATGTGACCAGATGTTGACTGTCTCATTGTGGACCTGGAAGACGCTCCTGAGTGAGTGATGGTAAGAGAACGTTGCTTGTCTAGTGACTATTAGCCCCAAGCCGTGTGCCGTCTACGACGCGGAAAACGTACCGATGGGATGTGAGTATGAACTCGTTGTCTCGCTGCCAGGGCACTGCGTTGACGCCGTTAGCTCACGACGTTCCTAGTACCTAGGTATCCACCGGGAGTTGCGCAGAGTCGAACTCACTGAGATCATCCCAGCCTATCAACGCATCGGAGTTCTGGGTCTCATCCGTACGATGAGTCTCCTTACCGTCCGCGTCAAATTGAACATGTCGCAATGTCGTTGATGTTCCATACCCGTCGCCATGGTTGCTTCCCTCCAAGATCCCCGCTTTCTCTCTAGCGTCTTGGCGTGTCTGTGATGTCATACTGCTAAGCTCACTGAGGCTGATGCCGACTCCAACGAATAATTTCTCGATGTTTTCAAGGTTTTATGAACGGCAGAGCGATCTGAAAGTCGATGGCTAATGCTTTTGTGCCGACAAAGACATGCCCTACTCAATAGTCACCCACAAGTTCAATCACCAAGCCGCCACGCTTCCGAGCTATGCACGGCCGTGACGCAGTCAATGAGTCCGCGGACCTCTTTCGCCTCTCATTTTCTTATGATGCGGCCAAGATGTATCTAAGGAATGGGAAATGCTTCTTCCTGTCGTATGTCGTATCCTTGGGGACTGTAAAATCTGGGCAGCCCTTGCTCGCCCGTGTGTTTCTGTATCGCGAGGATACTCAACCACTACCATGTTAGTCCTCTGCTTTCTACGCATGTCCACGTCACTCATAATTGAGGTGAGGTTTGCCAGATGAATACTTCTCAACCAGGCAATCTGCGCTCAAGTGTTGATTGCAGCAATTTTGGAGTGATAGAGGCACAGACTTTGAGCAAGATAGTCAGTGCCATGCCAGGAGAGCTGAACAAATCCACCTCGGCTTTCGCATCGTTTGATGGACATTCGATGTTGTCTGAAGCAGTAGGTATACAACTGACTCAGAATAGTTCAGGTGGGCACTGCATGGAGCGAGGCGTGGATGGCACCAATCTGAGATGCGCACAAAGGTACGGCACGAGGAATCGATAGCTAGCAAACAAGGATGATTCTCGGCTCAAGTCTTGCAATGCTCGCCGTTTCTACGTTTTGATACAGACATCATTTCTCATAGCAAGACAGAAAGTTCAGGATGGAGAGCCAGTCAAGGTTTCCGTATTATTAATTCAATCACCGCGCTCGATCGAGCGGTTACTGTTCAACAATCATGCACCGTCATTCATGCCCAACAATGTACACCGAACCATATCCAATGGCACCCAGCAATCAAGAGATAGGAGTAGTAATAGACAATGAGGATTCCACGCGCATCAACATCGCGCGAAGATAGAGCACGGAGAGGGTCAAGGTCAGAGAAGTACGGTAGGACGAATGGCGCGGACTTTCGACGGGTACTAGACCAGGATCGCCGTGCCTAGTTGGATTCTGAAGGAGAGGCATATCGTATCTCTTTTCGATTATGGGTTTAGAAGTCGGGAAATAGGTGCCCGTGGCTATTCGGACACGTCAGAATGTGGTCTACAGTATAAGGAGGACTCTGCACGCACGGGTCATCTCCTGCCTGACCGTATGCCTCCGTCTCCTCCGGATACTTATCGAATTGGCTGGCATCGCCAACGCCAGCTCGCACAGGTGGCACGTAGGGTGCATCAATGTCCTTCTTTTGTAGTCGGTCCCACGTTACTTCGGCGAACCAAGGGTGGTTCATAACGTCCTTGCTGCCGCCGTGCAAGTTGCCCAGTCGCTTGGTGAGGTCGGGTGTGATGAGCTTTTGCAGCAGGTCGTGGGCGTCAGGATGGATGTACGGTGGGTACTTGACTCTCGACTTGAGGATGTTTTCGTAGATCTTCATGGGGGAGCCACCGTCCCAGAAGGGAGTGAAGCCGCAGAGCATTTCGAAGATGAGAATGCCAAGTGACCACCTGGCGTTGTTAGTGCGACTCGAGCCGGGGGAGACATTGCTACTTACCAGTCGACGGACTTGTTGTAGCCTTTTGACGCGACGACCTCTGGCGCCAGGTAGTCAGGCGTACCGCACAGCGTCCATGTGATGTCGGGGACCTCTTTCGCGAAGCCAAAATCGGTGATCTTGAGATGGCCATGGCGATCCAGCAGCAGGTTCTCGGGTTTCAGGTCGCGGTAGATGATGTTATGCGAGTGCAGGTAGTCGAGTGCGAGCGTAACCTCTGCGGCATAGAACTTGGCGACGGGGTTGGGGAAGCGCTGGAGGAATTAGTATCAGATACATGATGCCTGGCACGGATGCGACATACCTGAGACTTTCGCAGCAGACTAAACAGCTCGCCTCCTTCGACAAAATCCATGACCATGTAGAGGTTCTTGGAGTCCTGGAAGGTGCCCCACAGGGTGATGAGGAAGGGGTGCTTGACCTGCTGCAGCATGCGGCGCTCGTCGTTGGTGTGCTCGACCTGCTTCATCTTGACGACCTGGGCCTTCTTCAGCACCTTGACGGCATAGAAGCGCTGGTTGTGCTTGGACTGGACAAGGTGGACGCGGCCGAAGCTGCCGGTGCCGAGGGTGCGCTGGATGGTGAAGTCGGTCAGCGAGTACTTGCCCTTGGTGACGCGCGCCTGGTTGAGGGGCTGCGTCTGGAACTGGACGGCGCCGGCATGCTTAGGAGCGGCGGCGTGGGCAGGCGTGTTGCTGGGGTGTATCAGGTTCTGTATGCTGGGGACGTTGTGCGAGGGCGTCGGCGGCTGGTGTTGCTGCTGGTGGGCGTAGGCGGGGTTCATCGAGTCGGACGGCTTGGAGGCGGCGGCAGGCGCGGCCGGGGCCGTGGAGCTGGTGTTGCTCGCCGTGTTGGTCAGCGACTCGTTGGTCTTGGTCTTGTGCAGGTGGAAGGAGCCCGACTTGCGCGACGTCGTGGGCGTGATGGGCGAGTGGGCGTCCTTGACGGGCGACGTCGGCGAATCGAGGTCCTTGGAGCCGTTCGAGTCCTTGGTCCGCTTCTTCTTGAGGAAGCCCAGGGTAGGCATTGGAGGGGCGGCGCGACGAGTGCGGCGGCGCGGCCCTGCCTGTTCCTCGACGCAGCTCGGGCGATCTCAAGCACTGGGGCCAGGAATGCGCGGGGAGCTCGGGACGGGGGCGCGGCGCAGACGGCAGCAGGCGATGCGCTCAGGGGCAGAGGGTGTGCAGGTGCGCGGGCATCAGCAGAGCAGCGAGGAGTGTCGGCGGCGTGGGCGGGCGAGGCAGGCTTTGGGCTAGGTGATGGGTGGAGGTTGGGCTAGACAGTAGACGCTCGCTCGCGGGGAAGAAGCGTCGCAGCTACCACGCGCGGGCGGCATTGGCAACAACATGACGCCTGCGGCTCATCAAAGAGCCATGTTTCACGCGCCTGCACTGGCACCGTGTTTGCGCCCGCAGTCAATGGCATGCATGCATCCAAACTAACATGTCAATGTCTTCATCCCTTCATTACATCGTGTCATGCCCGCCCGGGCTGCACGCGAAGCATCGCTGCTTGTTGCGTCATGCGTACCATGCACCGTGCCCAGGTGGTCGTCCCGGCTGCTATACCCAGCCTGCCTATACTGCGAATCGCTTCCTCGCGAACCCGTCAACGCCTAGCAATGCGCGCCAATACACATGCATGATCATACCCAACGCCGGCCCATCTACAAACACCCCAAAAGACTATTGCACAAACATGACTCGAAAGCGCTCAAATGGCACACGTTGCATCGTCAAAAGAAAACCTGGCCGTTTCACAGCTCATCAGCCACCGCATGGGTTTCATCGGCCCCACCAGACACCACGATCGGCTGGTACGTCTCCAGGTCAAGGCCGCACACTTCCATGCGCCGTTGCCGGAACCTCTCGTACAGCTTGCTCCACGCCTCTTGCGCCTGTGCGTTCTGAGGCCGCAGCTTGGCGCGTTCAGAAAAAGGAATGTCGTACTCCGGTCCTGGTATTTCGGGATCCGACAGCCTCACGAACGTCGTCGCCTGTTCGAACGCCGTCGCGTTGAAGTCGTCCACGACATTGCGCAAGTTCTGCGATTCGTAGACCACGTTGCCCATGGACAGCGACCACTCCGAGATCAATGAGTCCGGCACCGTGAATGTCTTGCGGAACATGTTGAGGTCCGACGTCGGATTCGTCGTGCGCAGTGTCCTCAGCTGGTTGTAGCTCTGTTGTGACGGGTGTATCATCAGGAGTGATGTCGACATGTCGGTTCGTTCTGGCGTGGCGGGGTACGCTGCCATGGGCTCTGACTTGGAGAAAGCCAGCAGCGAGTCCAGAGCCGATGCGTCGAGCAGCACTCCCGGACCTTGCAGGTAGAGTAGCCGCTCGTAGTCTACCAGTGAGTACAGGCTTGCTAGTGAGTAGGAAGAGGGCAGTGTGTCTGGCTCTATTAGTAACTGCAGCGGGCAGCTTCCTGGGCTCAGCACTCACCGTCTGCGCCTTCCACAATAGGCTCCATGGGCATCAAAGTGACGCCATACCGCCTCGCCGCTGTTCGCAGCAGTCGCCGTGTAGTCGACATTTGCGGGCCGTATTTGTCGTCTTCAGATTCCACCAGCCACAGTTTGGGAAACATCAGTATCCTTTTGGCCGGGCTCTTCATCTTGTGTAGATCAGACAGCAGCATCACGGCACTGCAAAGTTCCACATGCTCTCTCACCACCTGCACATAGCCCAGGCGGCTCCAGTCCATCGTCTGCCCCGCAATGTACTGCGCATATGTCTCGTCCACCTCCGGACGGCCGCCCATCGGTCTTGCCCATTTTACGTCCAATGTCGGAGGTTCTATCGGCTTGGGCGGGGGCAGAGGCTTGGGTAATCGGGGCTTTATGGCGGCTTGTAGAGAATGCACGTATCGTTGCTGTAATACCCAGCCGGAAAGGAAGAGGGCGAGTGTGAAGAGAAGAACTACCGGCGGCTGTCAGCGAATGCGAGTGCGTACCCGTCGTGGGCCATGCGTACCAATGGCTGCCGACAGGATGACAGAAACCTGGCTCGAAGTAAGGAGAAGTCTCCCCATAGCTACAAGTAAACGCTGGATGCGAAGGGTATAGGAATGCTATGATGGTTCAAAAGTGTGCATGTAGAATGGCAAGAGTAGCTCGTGCAGGAGAGCGCATGCAGTGGGCGGGTGTGACGTGCCCCGTGGATCTAGATTTCGTAGGGCTGCATGTTGATCGCTGGTGTTGAGCAGGCAACTATCGATTGCTGGCAGCACCCCGGCTCAAATTATCGCAACCATCAACGCGAGCTTCCTCCGCAGCACCGCAGCACCGCCGAACCACCAGACCGCACAATACTGCACGCGCATTCCCGAAGATACCCAAGGACCATTCCGATCTCAAACTAGCCACGAAACGACTGTTCGGTCTACCCACATGTCCAAACCGCAGTTCGACCGCGCAGACGCCAGCGCGCTCCTCGACGACCGAGGCTATCGCGGAGCCCTCATCAGAGGGCAGAACCCGGCGCTGCTCTTCGAAAAGGGTGTACGCGAGCGCATTACCGAGTCCTATTACTGGAAAGAGCAATGTTTCGGTCTGAACGCTGCGACCTTGTGCGACCGCGCAGCCGACCTCAAGTTCATCGGTGGCACGACTGGCATTACGGGCAAACCTACACCATTCTTGTGTCTAGCGTTCAAGATGCTGCAGCTAGTTCCGGACAAGGAGATTATTCTCGAATACCTCAACTTTCGCGATGACGAGGAAGATGGAGCACAGGACGGCGAGGTCAAGGAAGAGGAAAACGGCCACACATCCGAAAACGAGGACAAAACCAAGAAGGCGCTCGATCTAAATGCTGCAGGCAAACTCGGCGACTTCAAATACCTGCGCTGCCTCGCTGCCTTCTACATTCGCCTTGCCTGGGAGCCCGTCGAAATCTACAAAACCCTCGAACCCCTCCTCACCGACTACCGCAAGATAAAACGACGCCTCAAGGATGCTTTTACCCTCACGTACGTCGATCAGTTCATCGATGACCTCCTCACAAAAGACCGCATGTGCGCGACGAGTCTGTGGAAGTTGCCGTCGCGGGCGAACTTGGAGGACTTGGATATGTTAGAGCCGAGGGAGAGTCCGTTGGGTGACGAAATCGATGAGCTGGATGAGGAACTAGACAGAAGGAGTGATGGAAGTGCGCGGAGCTACAGAAGCAGGAGCTATGACAGCAGGAGCAGGAGTCGGAGCTACGACAGTCGCAGTCGTAGTCGCAGCCGCAGCAGAAGTCGAAGTCGAAGCTACGATAGTCGTGATCGCGAGAGGAGTCGCAGCCCAGGCGAGCGGAGCCGGTCACGGAGTAGGACACATAGTAGGAGTGGGAGTCGCAGGCGCGATTAGAGTCGCAAGGACAGCGTGATGCTAGCATGTAAGGCTGCGCATCGTATTTAGCTTTATACCCATCTATGTAATGAAGCGTTCAGTTACTATTGCCATCGTCGCATGAACACCACTCGATCCTGCGTTGCAAGTCGCACACGATGCCACCACTCCCAAGGCACGTGCAAGGTTCGGCAAGCTCTCTAATAGCATTATACTAGTCAAAGCGGCGGCCTTAAGCCTTACTTTGTATCACACTTTGTAGAGATTAAATTTTCTTCTATCTAATTGCTAATAAAGCTACTAACTTAATTATCTTAATAAGTTAGGATTACATTTTGCCGCACCATGAGAGCGCTTCCGACCCCAGCCACAGCAAGATATATGCAACGCTCACCCACCACGTCGCTGCCACGCAGTCTCCCAACTGATACTGCACAAAGGCGCCCAAGTCAGCTGCAGGTTCCCTCCCTATAATTCGAACCCTCATGAACTTTACGATCGAGAAAAGAGGAAGGAACACAACCCCTCCAGCAAACGAGAGCACAGTCCACGATGGAGCCCTGGACGCCTCCTCTTTGAACAGCCTTCGCCATGGGAGACAGGAGAATACGAAACTGCTTATTATCCACCCCGCACCAGCGACAGTGAATACTGCGAATGGCGCCTGGATGCACTTCAAACATTGTTCTCCAATGCTATCTTCTAGCACGCGTCGAGGCCGGACTTGAAGTGCTCGGCAAAGCTTCCTGAGGAACAGCGGATAGCAAAGTCTTGCCAGCGCCACAGGGAGGGCAACACCAGCAACATTCGCCATTGAGAGCCCATGTTCAGAGCCCGATACCACGAACGTCATTCTGGTGAGCAGTGAAAGTGCACTCAATTTAACTCCAACATTGACTTGCTTGCTCATCCTCAGAGCACTGGGAAGAGATAGCACGATAGAGATCCACACCCTCTGAGGGTGAGCAAGCGCTCGAGGCAAGATCCATCCCACGGCAACCGATATGTATGGCCAAACAGATGTCTGTCCCTCCTGTAAGGCAGGTTCTCCGAAGGCCAGAACGAGGTGTTCCAGTAATGGCAATGTCTCGTCACCTTCACCCTCTTTCTCTTTCTTGCCAAAAATTTCCGTGAGGTTGTAGATGTATAGCAAAAGGTGTACGACCACCAGTAAATTTTGAAGGTGTTTCTTTTGTCGTGAAGTTTGTCGTCGCACGAAGAAAGGGGAGCCAACTAGGATGATTGGGATTGCTGGCCCTGGGATGCGTAATCGACCGAGTGCCACTGAAGGGTAAAGAGATGGCTCGTCGCTCGCCATGTTGGGGAGACTACGAACACTCGAGCGCGAGTTTCTTCTATATTGCGCCTTTTCCAGGCAGCAGTCGGTCTTGTGTCCGCGCGACTTCCGACGGTGTCCGGGTGGAGTATTATTAAATGCCGTTTATCCCATGTATCAACAGTACTGCCGAGCTTTTTTCTTTCTACATAGGCAATAGGGAACTTGCGCCAAGGAGTTCGCATTGTTGCCGCCATTGCCGTCTTGACCTGCCGAGGTATACCGAGCTTGACGGTCCGAGCGGCCCAACGGCTCAACAGTGTCAGCGATCCTGCGTTGCGAGTCGCACACGATGCCACTACCTAGGTACTTCCAAGGTACGTGCAAGGTTCGGTAAGCTCCGATAGCATCATACTAGGCCTGCACGTTGAAGCAACTTCGACACCACCGAGCGCAGCTGTCACCACTTGTACTCCATCATCACCATGCCTGACTCTGCACCCCAACCCTCCACCCTCCTTACTCTTCCTCGAGAATTGCGCGATTTGATATATTCGTACCTGCAAGCTGAAGGAGAATCTGACTGGTGTGAAACCAGTCTTTTCCCTACATTCTGCCTCCTGTACCGCGTCCACAACGCACCGACTCTCGCGCTACTTCATGCTCATCCTCGTCTGCGAGAAGAGTCTCTTGAAATCACTGAGAAACAAGGAGTCTTCGTCACAATCTGCGATCGGGACCGCCTACGACCCTGCCCTGTAGATACACCGCATCAATCACCACCCAGTCGCAAGCGTCGCACGCTACCTTTAGACACACTCTTCACCCATTACATCAGGCACGTCGCGATTCTCGTCCCCAACAGCCATGAAGACCTGAATGAGTGGACGTGGAACACTACGCGGCGTTTTGTCTCTGTGCTGGCACAGAAAGCTCCATCTCTAGCAACCATCCGAATCGACTATCAATACCGCTCCCAAACCCTACTTCAACATCACAACAACACCTTTGCACGGTTTGATATGTCTCCATATATGCTCGTGCCACCCCCCTGTCTAGACACGTTGCAGCTCGTACAGCGGGTCGAAGGGTACCGTCTCGAGCAGGAACCGATTTCCGAAGATGAGCATCGGAGTCAGCGACGTCAGCGGCGTCATCACAGGTGTCTAAAATATGGCTGCTACTTGTTCAGCAAGGCTGGAGTAGACTACACGTCTCATCTTTGGAAGCCTGAAGATATTGATGGACGGCTGTGGGCCGAGCCGTATGATGTGGATGATTGGAGAACGCCACTACCGGCTTGGGTGGTCAATCACAAACTGAAGGACTGGAGGGAAAAGCGTGGCCACGAGGAAGCTGTGGCTTGGTTCTGAGATCGCTTCGTGATCGAATCTCCACGACTTTGACAATCGATTTGCAACACCTTGCATTCCGGCAGGTGCTGAAAATTTCTACATGCGGCTGGGGTTTTGGACTCTATCATGCGCTGCCGCACGTAGACGCCATCATTGCAGGTTCAAGAGGACTTCTCGCTGGCTGTCGACCATTCCAGCAACCGAACAAAATCTCCCTTTTCGCCTATGTTACAACTTGACTCTCACTTCCTCGTCCACTCCCCATGATAGAATACGTCCATCAGTAATCTCGCTAGTTCCCAATTTTCCTTCCTGATATTCTCATCAATATGGATCTGGCGCGCAAGTTCTTTTCGGACTAGACCGAAAGCCTCGTAGCAACACTCACATCCCCTTCGTTCGACACAGCTATCTCAGATGGTATATCGAGGCTATCAACTGAAGCATCAAATATCTGGCGTTTCCGTCTCGCCAGGCTCCAGGGCTCCTTCCCTTCGCATTATGCGCTAGTCGAGACCCACTTATCTCGAGCGTTTGTCAACAACATCAACAGCAATATTGACTCTCTCGCTCAGAGCACTCACCCACCAGAGACACTTTCCGCTCTGCTATTGACACTCGCGTCCACTATGATGTCGGGCGAACGCAGCCGCCGGGATGCGATGAGGATGGC